CAGTACGAATCTCATTTTATAAAACAGTTTTATAAATAATAGTTTGACTCTTATTAATTTTTAATATAATATAAGAATTCATCATAATAATATTTATTGAAGTTATTATACACCGAGAAGTATATAGGTAATTTGAAATAGTTCATGAGGATCGGAAGTGAGAGTAATGGACGGTTTCCAAAAGAGGGAAGCAAAAGCAAGAGCTTTCAACCAAGTAGTACCTGATTTTGGAAAGCTGACAACAGAAACATAGTTGACTTTTTGCATAAAAATATTTTTGAAAATTGTATACTCCTTTAATATAAGCTGATGGGCACTAAAAATCTTGAAATAAATGGAGTTTGGGGACTCCACCCAATATCTTTGGGAAGGGAGAGATGGAGTTCATTTGGATGTGGGTCACTCTGGAAAGCCATTTGAGCCGCCAGAATACAAATGGTCACTCGTGTAATTGGATGAAGATACAACTTTTCTTTTATAGCATCAATTCGTGGTCCAAGTTCATTAAAGGAATCAAATAAATATTTGAATAAAAGGTGATGGACAACAAAAATCTTGAAATAGACATGGGTTTGTAGCCAAACCTATTTCTCTAGGAATGGAGATAGTTAATCTACTTATTTATTTCTTTCCCAACTTTGAAGGCCATTGGTAGAATATGAATGGTGATTTGTGATATGAACTAGAGAGAGTGAAACACATGTGCAATTGTTAGGTTGAACTTAAAAAAAAAAATCAGTTGTGGTTTTGTCTTTATTAAGCAATTTTTTAAAGGTATTAATATTATTATTGGGTTTAATCAAGGAAAATATATTTTAATATTTTTAAAAAGGATTAACACGTTATTGAATTTGAATAAGGGAGACAAGGTAATATATAAGCGTACATGTAGTCCCTTTTAACCTAATACTTTAATATTATAAATTTTTAGGTCATTCTTACTATTCAATTTCACTATTCAAGCACAACAAATATAAATTTATATCGGATCAGACCATAACAGACAGATGTAAATTTACACCGGATTAAGTCAAATCTAACATAAATTTATGTATATTGTAACTTGATCCGATATAAATTTTATCTTTTTTTAATATAATACTCGTTAGAGGTAAAATTACAAATGTATTGAAAGGAATGAATCAAGAAAAGGGAAGAAGTGTTAAAAGACCTTGTTAGTAAATTTGAGGTATTGAGGAGTTGAATATCGATAGAAAGTAAAGGAAATGATGAGAAAAAGAAAGGAGAATTTAATATGATTTGTTGGATTGAAAGAATAAAAGGTACATGTAGTGAATAAATAGGAAGTACTTCAAAGAAGAGAGGTTATTAAAGAAATGATTGATAAATGTATTGAAAGATAAATAAAATGTCATATGATTAATGAATCCAAATATCGAGAGATCGAAGAAGTAAAAGACATCGAGACTCATGGTACAAAATGTTAAAAGGTGAGATACCGAGAAGAAGCAACATAATCCAAGAGTTATGCAGAGACAATTATTACTTTATTATGATATATGTGCATTAATAGAAGGGATGTGGCGACAATGTGGATTGAAGAAAGAGAGGACAATTATAAAAAAAAAAGTAATCGTTTGTGAATTTTTATTTTTATTTAAGTGTATTTCATTTTAGTTGTAATTTTTTATTTGGTTAGGTAGTTTTATTTTAGTGTTACACATAAGGAAAATATAAATAGGAGAAAATAAATGTAAAAAAAGTGTGATTGTCAAATTGTATGAATAAACTTATCTTCTGAAAAATGCTACAAACACTTTCAATGGAGTTTTTCGCAATTTGGATCGCCATCTTAGTTTATTTTGTCTACCAATTTATGTTTTATCTTTTGTAATATGTTAGGTTTATCTTTTTGTCATTTATTATCTTCGCATATTTACTTTTCAGCAATTTATTTTTATTATTCTTAACTATTGTTGCAATATACTTTAAATGTTTCAAATCATATTGGAAATAAAAATTGTATGTGATAAGTTGAAATATATTTTAAATATTGAGTGGTTGATATAAAATAGATCCATATGGTATTTAAATTATTCATCGCGTGATCGGACGATGATTTAATCAAATCGAACAACGAATCATTTACACTAAAAACAAATATTAAAATTTATCATAATAATATTTATTGAAGTTATTATACGCTGAGAAGTATATAGATACTTTGAATAAAATTGTAATATATAACTAGATTGAAATTGAATAAAATTGTAATATATAACTAGATTGAAATTGTATTTTATAAATTGATTTATTAGGTTTAAATTAGATTTATAACTACTCTTTGTATTATATTATATTTTTATTTTTATAATATATATATATATTTATTTATTATAAAAGAATAAAGTATAATATAAATTTAAAATAAATGATGGTTGACTCAAACTTCTTTTCAAATCTCTCAATTATTCTTAAAGTATCAAATGAAAAGATTGATAAATATGTTAGATTAAGCTAAAAGTTACGTGATAAAAATTGAATTAGAATTATTTTAATTTAGACTATTTAGATTATGAGTTTAAATTATGTTAATACATATTATTTTATAAAATATTAATTATTTTTTAACTAAAAATAAAAATGATATTATTTTATTACAAAATTAATATATTTTAATATTAAAATATTTCATTATAATTAATAATTTAAATTTATTTTACTAGTATATAACTTAAATTATAATTTTATAATATATTTATACGTGTAAATTAATTATTACATGTATATATATAAAATGAATGTAATTTTGATTCCTAACAATTCTAGTCCTATATAAATTTTTATATGTACATAGATAATTAAGTTTCTCTTTTTTATTTTATGTGTAATTTAAAACAAAACACATCATCAATATTTTAAGAAATCAGGTATTGTTTTTGCTTGAGACTATATAAAGTATAATTTTTTTTATTTTTAAATAATTAATTTAGCATTATGACGAACTTTTTACTAAAATAATATTATTATGTTATATATATACGTAACATAACCTCTCATGAAATTATTTATTTAATCGAACATCTCATGAAATTATTTACTTAACTGAACCTCTTTTACAGTTCTACTTGGAATTCGGTTTCCGTAAACCGAATTCTAACTTTAAACTTACCAATTTTTTTAAATAAAAAATTAAATACAATATATAATTAAAAATAATAAAATTAATATTAAAAATAAAATTTTAATTTTAAAATTTAAATAATGTTTATATAAAAAATAATAAAAATAATATATTATTTAAATATATATTAAATTATTTAAATATATTTAAATAAGTATTAAAAATATTAAATAATAATTTTTTATTATATTTTTATATAATTTTTTTATATTTTTGAATAGGAAATTTAAAATTTATATATTTTTTTATTATATGAATTATTTAAGTTATAATTTTAGAAAAAAATAGAATAAATAAAAATTTAATTTAGGTAATATATTAAAAAACTAAATATTATATTATAAAAATTTATGTAATAGTTTTTATTTGATAAATTATAAATATTATATTAAAAAATTCATGCTAAAATTAATTTTTTTAAAATAATAAAGTAAAAATATTATTTAATTAGTTAAAAATTATTATTAATATAAAATAAACTTACAAATAAAAAATAATAAAAATTGACAGAATTTATATAATATTAAAAATAACATAATCATCCAACATATAACATCAGATGATTTATTGGGAAAATGACACTCAATCGTTCACCCAACTTTTAACATTATTATCAATAATTTTATTTTTCAATTTTCAATTTTTATTATCAATGATTATGTTATTTTTAATATTATACATCAAATTATGTTAATTTTTATTATTTTTTATTTTTAAGTTTATTTTATATTAATAATAATAATTTTTAACTAATTAAATAATATTTTTACTTTATTATTTAAAAAAAATTAATTTTAGCATGAATTTTTTAATATAATATTTATAATTTATCAAATAAAAACTATTACATAAATTTTTATAATATAATATTTAATTTTTTAATATATTACCTAAATTAAATTTTTATTTATTCTATTTTTTTTCTAAAATTATAACTTAAATAATTCATATAATAAAAAAATATATAAATTTTAAATTTCCTATTCAAAAATAAAAATAAAATATAATAAAAATTTATTATTTAATATTTTTAATAATTATTTAAATATATTTAAATAAATTAATATATATTTAAATAATATATTATTTTTATTATTTTTTATATGAATATTATTTAAATTTTAAAATTAAAATTTTATTTTTAATATTAATTTTATTATTTTTAATTATATATTTTATTTAGTTTTTTATTTAAAAAAAGTGTTAAGTTTAAAGTTGAAATTGGATTTACTGAAACCGAATTCCAAGTATAAAAGTAAAAAATATTCAGTTAAGTAAATAATTTTATGAGAGAATTTGATGAGAGATTCTGTATATATATATATATATATATATATATATATATATATATATATATATATATAATATTATTATTTTAGTAAAAAAAAGTACTGTTTTAAAAAGTCGGTCTCAATTATTAATTTAGAAATTCTAATATACAAGTGTATCGAATCACTATTAAACAATGTTTCGCGGGTTTAAATTAGTTAAGACAGAACTGATCCAATAATATATGGACTAAGTATACGTAAAACTGGGGGACAAGACAAAAGCATAAAAATACCTCTTTATTCAGTAAAAGTAAATATTACAGAAATATTTGGATTGAATACAACTGCATATTGGCTTCTGTAGTCACTTACTATTACTTAGTAGTTCATTTTAAATGATAGACCTGATCCATTTAATTTTTCTTCAACAATTTTGGATAATTTTTCTATCATAGAAGGAGATAAGTAATTCATGTAGTCTCCTATTTCACCCTTTCGAAAGTACTTATTCTCTACCATATTATCCGTAATTCCCACCTTATTCACTTCCAAATCCTTCATCTTCTCAAAGCTACATAGTTTTATTATACTTTCAACAACTGTGCTGCTCTCTCCTTCACATGGAATTCAGTATCCTCTTTGAGATCCTCATATTTCAAGAACAGAACTTTGTTTGGTCTGTCTATGCTCGCCTTCCAGTACCCTAATACATGACTCCACCATGGACCAAAAAAATTTACGCCATTGCAAAACGTTTCAAATGCATCCTCGAGTGTAAACGTAGGTAAAGACACTAACTTCAGTTTGGGAAAGAATTCCCAAACAGAAACAAAAGTGTCAAATGGATTCCTGCAGGATATAAATTATCTTACAGCGAGATTCTTTGACGGACTTGGGCAATGAAGGGAATGGTGTGTGGGTACCAAAAAGCCTTGGCTCGGTCATATTGGATAACTTAAGAATGTGGTCATGAACATTACGACACAAGATGAATTCAAGGAAAGGCACGAGTTGTTGAGAATTGGAAGTGAGTAATGGATGGTTATCAAAAGAGGGGAAGCGTTGATGGTTCAAAATAGCAAAAGTAAGAGCTTTCAACCAAGTGGTGCCTGATTTTGGAAAGCTGGCAACAAAAACATCATTCTCTTTTGCATTAAAATATTTTTGGAAATTTAATACTCCGTAAATAAGAGATGTAGGGCACCAAAAATCTTGAAATAGATATAGATTTAGGTTTGCAGCAGGTGTTTCTCTGGGAAGCGAGAGAATGAACTCATTTTCTTCAATTATTTGCTGCTCACCTTTCAAAGCCATCGGAGTTAGAATATGACCGGTGATTTATGATAAGAAGTGCAGAGAAGGGTGAAGCACATGTGTACATTGCTAGGTCCAACATTTATAGAGAAATGAAAAAGGAAAAACCGTTTCTACCCTTGCCTTTTTCTTTTAATTAAAAATAATCTTCCAATAAAAAAAATAGTAAACTTATATGAATTATGGTTGGTGAAATTTGGCATAAACACTTGGTAAAGGAAAACGAAAGAAAATAGTACAGCAAAAAAAAAAAAAAAAAAAGAAAAAAAGTGACTTGGTTTTAGGTTGTTTGGTAAAGATGAATATAGATAAGAAAAAAAAAAAAAACTATTATTTGATTGCATAAAAAGTGAAAGAAAAAACAATGCGTGTAAAAGTGTATATATATGTTAAATAAAAGTGAAATGATATATAGAATATGTAAGTTATGTCCTCACCCTGATCAATCCAATAAATCTTTATAAATCTCGTTCAAAATTATAATTTATCTTGTATAATCGGAATTAACTATTTAATATATATATATATATATATATATATATATATATATAAAATAAAATCTCCACTAAATTATAACTAACCAAATTAATCTGAATAAAAAATATAACTCTGTTTTAGTTTGATTGAGTCTGTAATTATAGAATCTAAGATAGCCGGTACATAGTCTGTAACTTAGAAGCTTCAAAAAGCTTAAATTTATCATTCAGGCTCGGCTTTAATCGATTAAATAGGTAAATAATCGATTAAAACAGTGAGAAAACCATTTTCTGTACAAACTCACTGCTTTAATCGATTAAACGACAAAATAATCGATTATTCCATACAGATTCAGTACGGATAATCGATTATTTCACCAAATAATCGATTAAACCGAGAGTATTAGGTTCGACGTATTTGACTTCGTTTTAATCGATTATTACTCCAAATAATCGATTATTCCAATCTGTTTCGATTTTAAACTTCAAACAAACCCTATTTTCGAAAACCCAATTACCAAGAACCCTAGTTTCGAAATCCCCAAATCCTAAACCCTAATTTCCCTACTTAAACTCTCCTTTGGCACTCGAAAAGAAGAACAACCTTTTCCATACAAAAGTTAAGTGCCTGTGAGTGCCGGAGAATTGTTTGTTGCAAGGAAAGGGGGTTTTCGAACTCGGTGTGGGCTAGAAGCGATAAGAATCACTAAGTGGAGTTCTTAGTGTATTGTGTGTTGTGCCGTCTCTGGAGAAAGCTGTTCTTCATCTCTTGTGGGTTTCAAGAGAGGTGTTATCTTTAACTTTATCTTTTCCATTGTAATTTGTATTGTAACAATTTGTTTATAGTGACAGCGTTAATCCTCTGTTGAGTGATTAGCAACTGGACGTAGGGTCTTTTTATCCGAACCAGTATAAATTTCCTGTGTAAGACTCTATCCCTTTCTCTATTTACATTTACACAGTTTTTAATCGGTAAAATTTGGGGAAAATTTTGAAAACCTAATTTTTATTAAGAAACCAATTCACCCCCCCTCTTGGTTTTTGTCCGACCACGCGATCATTCCGCTGCGCGATTCTAACAAGTGGTATAGCCTCTGGAATAATCGATTACTGGAAGTGATAATCGATTATTTTCCCTCAAAACGTCCAAAACAGGGTATTCTCCTCTGGAATAATCGATTATTTCGTGAAATAATCGATTAAAGCTGTCTGATATAGAGATAATCGATTATTTTGAGATATAATCGATTAAATGCGACCAGTCTTGCCTCCTAGCCGTTGCCAACGGATATTTTGCCATGGAATCTCTTCTATATGACCGTTGGAAGTATTTTCCCTATATATAGAGACCTCTAGTTCAATTATACTCACTTCTAACTCTTGCAATCAAGTTTTTCTTGCAATCTATACTCTCTTTGCCTCATTATTCCCTCACTTGTCTCCAAATCTTCTTCATACTTCATCTATTCTTTCAAATGGCCTCATCCTCTTGCCCTAAGATTCCTACAAGAAGAAGATCTGCACCTTCTTCTCATTCCCGTCCTAATTTTGTTGAAGGATGGATTTCTGATACGGAAGGTCAACAGGAATTTCTGATGTACTGGAAGGAACGTGCCGTCATTTCTCCTAAATTCCTAATTGGTGAGCAATTCATTCATAGAGGATTTAACTTTCCTAATCTTCTTGAATTTCAAGGAGTTCTCCCATTTATCCAAATGCAAGGTACATACTATCCTGACTTAGTTAGGGTATTCTATTCTAGATTTAAGTTTAGGGATCAAATTGCTACATCCCGTGTAAAAGGGGTTACCATAATTCTAGATGATGATATTTGGGAAAACGTTGCCCACTTCCCCATTAGAGAAGATGCTATTAACGTTTATGGTTGTTAGAATCGCGCAGCGGAATGTTCGCGTGGTCGGACAAAAACCAAGAGGGGGGTGAATTGGTTTCTTAATAAAAATTAGGTTTTCAAAATTTTCCCCAAATTTTACCGATTAAAAACTGCGTAAATGTAAATAGAGAAGAGTAGAGAAGATTACACAGTAGGTTTATACTGGTTCGGATCAAAAGACCCTACATCCAGTTGCCAATCACTCAAAAGAGGATTAACGCTGTCACTAAGAACAAATTGTTACAAACAGATTACAAATGAACAGATAAAGATCAGAAAACACCTCTCTTGAAGTCCACAAGAGATGATGAACAGCTTTCCCTGGAGACGGCACAACACACAATCCACTAAGAACTCCACTTAGTGATTCTTATCGCTTCTAGCCCACACCATGTTCCAAAAGCCCCTCTCTTGAAATCCACAAGAGATGATGAACAGCTTTCCCTAGAGACGACACATCACACAATCCACTAAGAACTCCACTTAGTGATTCTTATCGCTTCTAGCCCACACCAGGTTCAGAAAGCCCCCTTTCCTTGCAACAACAGTTCTCTTGCACTCACAGCACTTAACTTTTGTATGGAAAAGGTTGTTCTACTTTTCTGAGTGCCAAAGCAGAGTTTAAGTAGGGAAATTAGGGTTTAGGTTTTGGGGATTTCGAAACTAGGGTTCTTGGTAATTGGGTTTTCGAAAATAGGGTTTGTTTGAAGTTTAAAATCAGAAACAGACTGGAATAATCGATTATTTGGAGTAATAATCGATTAAAACAGAGCCAAATACGTCAGAACCCAATCCTCTCTGGTTTAATCGATTATTTGATGAAATAATCGATTATCTGTACGGAACTGTACGAAATAATCGATTATTTTGCTGTTTAGACAGTGAGTTTTAGATAGAAAATGGTTTTCTCACTGTTTTAATCGATTATATACTTATTTAATCGATTAAAGCCGAGCCTGAATGATAAATTTGAGCATTTTGAAGCATCTAAGTTACAGACTATGTACCGGCTATCTTAGACTCTAAAATTACAGACTCAATCAAGCTAAAACAGAGTTATTACAATACAGAAATCATCAATCTTCAATCTTCAATACCCTAAGTCTTTAAGCTCTAGGATCATCATCAAAATCAACATTCTTCATGATCATTATTTGCAACATCAAGTCCTTGAATGTTCAACAATCTCCCCTTTTTGATGATGATCAAAATTATCTTTTTAAAGCCCTTGTAATAACCTCGTTTTATCCGTCATACTAACACACACATTAAACATACCAGATAAAATTTAAAATTGAATATAGGCTTTAAATTTTTCTCCCCCTATTTTGATTATTATCAAAAAGAACTCTGAAAGAACAAACATTAGATCTCCCCCTCAAAATATGCATAATTTAGAGAAAGCTCCCCCTTAATCATAGCATGAAAGAAGCATCATATTTTATTTCATAATCATTCATCCATTACAACATCAAGACAATAACAAAAGAAAATACATAACAGAATTTAAAATTCTTCACTATCATGATCATTAAAGTGTGCATCAAATCTATTCTCTAAACGACACACTTCAATATCCGTTGGCAACGGCTAGGAGGCAAGACTGGTCGCATTTAATCGATTATATCTCAAAATAATCGATTATCTCTATATCAGACAGCTTTAATCGATTATTTCTAGCAAATAATCGATTATCTGAGGCATTTAATCGATTATTTTGGACGATTTTGAGGGAAAATAATCGATTATCACTTCCAGTAATCGATTATTCCAGAGGCTATATCAAGTTTTTGAGATTTATATGCATAATAACCTATGAACATGCTACACCACGAATTTTAACATAACAATCATCCAGAAACAGTCAAATTAAGCAGATTTTAAGCTATTTCTAATATCCCTAAGTCTCTTCTAAGATCATAGAATCTATCCTTGGGTAGAGGCTTAGTAAATATATCTGCTAATTGACGTTTAGTGTCTACATACTCTATTTTGCAGTTTCCTTTGCTGATATGATCTCTTAAAAAGTGATGTCTAATCTCAATATGTTTAGTCCTAGAGTGCATTACTGGATTCTTAGTTAGATTGATTGCACTCGTATTATCACACATTAATGGAATATGTCATTTAAATATATGCTATAATCCTCTAATTGTTGTTTCATCCACAGAATTTGAGCACAACAACTACCAGCTGCAATATATTCAGCTTCAGTGGTAGATAAAGCAACACATGCCTATTTCTTGGAATGCCAAGATATT